CAACAAATATCGCCCACTCAAATCCTCCTAACCGACTCCCAACATACCACTACGGCTGTGTCCTAATCACAAACCATACTCAAAAACCCACCGCTTCTTGTCACACACTTTACACTATAATACCAAACTTTAGCATCTCTCCACACCCCACTCCATGCACAGCGCTCCAGCTGCCAAATCCAATCCAGTCCTTAAAACGAGTATGCGCCTCATCCTGCATTTATGCGCACCATCTGCGTGGCAACATACCTTGCACGCTACACAGCCTAGCATGAACCAGCAAGCAGTATCCAGTCTCCATTAACGCGCACGCACACCAGCGCGTCGCTTCCTCAAACGGACCACTAAATACCTGCTCAACCACAAATGACACACTGCTCCACATACACAACCCCTGACCTTCCTCCAACATTAGCTGCCCGTCTTGCCCAATGCATCAGCATCCACTCCAACAAATAACGCCAACTCAAATCCTCCTAACCAACTCCCAACATACCGCTTCGGCTCCTTCCTAACCATAACCCATACTCAAGAACCCACCGCTTCCTGTAAGACACTTTACACTATATTACCCCATTTAGCTTCCCCCCACCGCCCACGCAATACACAGCGCTGCAGCTGCCAACTCCAATGCAGTCTTTAACACGCATAATGTGCCTGATCCTGCATTTATCCTCACCATCTGCGTGGCAATATACGCTGAATGCTACACAGCCTAGCATGAACCACCAAACAGTATCCAGCCCCAATCACCGGGCACACACACCAGCGCATCGCTTACTCAAACGCACCACTAAATACCCGCCCAACAACCAACCGATACAGTCCTCCACATACACAGCCCCTGACCTTCCTCCAACATTAGCTGCCCGTCTTGCCCTATGCAAAGGCATCCACTCCAACAAATATCGACCACTCAAATCCTCCTAACCAACTCGCAGCATACCAATTCGGCTCCTTCCTAAACAAAACCCACACTCAATAACCCACCGCTTCTTCTCACACACTTTACACTATACTACCCCCATTTAGCTGCCCTTCATCCCCCACGCAATGCGCAGCGATGAAGCTGCCAAATCCAATGCAGTCTTTCACACGCCATTTCGCCTCATCTTGCATTTATGCGCACTCGCTGCGTGGCAATATACGCTGAATGCTACACAGCCTAGCATGAACCAGCAAAAACTATCCAGCCTCCATTAACGCACAAGCACACCAGCGCATCGCTTCATCAAACGCACCACTAAATACCTGCTCAACAACAACATGGCACACTGCTCCACATACACAACCCCTGACCTGCCTCCAATATTAGCTGCCTGTCCTGCCCTACCCAACGGCATCCACTCCAACAATTATCGCCCACTCAAATCCTCCTAACCAACTCCCAACATACCACTTCGGCTCCTCCCTGACCACAGCCCATACTCAAAAACCTACTCAAACACCCACCGCTTCTTGTCACACACTCTACACTATGTTGCCAAAATGTAGCTTCCCCCCATCCCCCACTCAATGCCCAGCGCTCCAGCTGCCAAATCCAATCCAGTCTATCACACGCATATGCGCCTCATCTTGCGTTTATGCGCACTGGCTGCGAAACAACATACGCTGAACGCTACACAGCATAGCATAAACCACCACACAGTATCCAGACTCCATTAACGCGCACGCACACCAGCGCATTGCGTCCTCAAGCGCACAACTAAATACCTGCTCAACCACAAAATGACACGCTGCTCCACATACACAACCCCTGGCCTTCCTCCAACATTAGCTGCCGTCTTGCCCTATGCAAAGATATCCACTCCAACAACTATCGCCCACTCAAATCCTCCTAACCAACTCCCATACTAAAACTTCACCTCTTTCCTGAACAAAACTCACACGCAAATACCCGCCGCTTCTTGTCACAAACCTTACAGTATAGTACCCCCATTCAGCTTCCCTCCACCCCCCACTCAATGCTCAGCGCTCCTGCTGCCAAAACGCATCCAGTCTTTAACACTCAAATGCGCCTTATCCGGCATTTATGCGCACCAGCTGTGTGGCAATTCACGCTGAATGCTATACAACCTAGCATGAACCACCAAACAGTATCCAGCCTCCACTAATGCACACGCACACCAGCGCATCGCGTCCTCAAACCCACCACCAAATACCTGCTCAAACACAAAATGACACACTGCTCCATATACATAACTCCTGCCCTTCCTCCAACATTAGCTGCCCGTCTTGCCCTATGCACAGGCATCCACTCCAACAAATACCGCCCACTCAAATCCTCCTAACCGACTCCCAACATACCACGTCAACTCCCTCCTAATCACAACGCATACTCAAACATCCACCGCTTCTTCTCACACACTTTGCTCTACACTACTCCCATTTAGCTTCCCCCCATCCCCCATGTTCAGCTCCTTCCCAAACACAACCTGTAGTCAAACTCTCACCGCTTCTTATCACACGCGTTAATCCGCATTACCCCCATTTATCTTCCCGTCATCCCCCACGCAATGCACAGCGCTCCAGCTGCCAAATCCAATCCAGTCTTTAACACGCCGGTGCGCCTGCTCTTGCATTTATGCTCACCCGCTGTGTGGCAACATACGCTGAACGCTACACACACTAGCATGAACCAGCAGACAGTATCCAGCCTCCATTAAAGCGCACGCACACCAGCGCATCGCTTCCTCAAATGCACCACCAAATACCCTGGCCGACCACAAAATGACACACTGCTCCACATACACAACCCCTTACCTTCCTCCAACATTAGCTGCCTGTCCTGGCCTATGCAAAGGCATCCACTCAAACAAATATCGCCCACTCAAATCCTCCTAACCAACTCCCAACATACACTTCGGCTCCTTCCCGAACACAACCGGTAGGCAAAATCCCACCGCTTCTTGTCACACACTTTAGCCCACATTACCCCCATTTAGCTTCCCCCCATCCCCCACGCAATGCACAGCGCTCCAGCTGCCAAATCCAATGCAGTCCATTACACGCAGATGCGTCTCATCTTGCATTTATGCGCACTGGCTGCGAAACAACATACGCTGAACGCTACACAGCCTAGCATGAACCAGCAAACAGTATCCAGCCTCCATTAAGCCACACGTACACCAGCGCATCGCTTCCTCAAACGTACAACTAAATACCTGCTCAACCACAAAATGACACACTGCTCCACACACACAACCCCTGACCTAG